TTTGAAGATGTAGAAAAAGAAAGAAAGAAGCAGCTATGTGGGGTTTTTTTTATTCGTCTCACTCTAAAATTTAACGACTTCTGAAAAATCAAAAGCTCTTTTTTAGCAGTAGTTTGTAAACAGGCGGTCTGGGCATACAGCAGCAGGATTATGGGATGTTTCAGGGTCCCCGAGCATCTCTAACTATCAGCTTTATCTAAAGGAAAGTCTGGTCTTAAAGCTAGAGGGGGGGGTCTGTTTATCTAAACCCAAAATGGTTCTTCAGAGCCTATTGGGAGCAGAATTTGAAATTATACTCTCGAAACAACCGGGAGCCGATGAAGGGAAGCTAAAACTGACAATAGTCAGACTGTAATAGGCCTTTTCAGCTCAGTATTGTTGAGCAGGACTATAGCTTCTTGGTTGTTAGCTTCTTGAATTTCCCCTTGGGATCAATAAAGTATCTATCTATCTATCTATCTATCTATCTATCTATCTATCTATCTATCTATCTATCTATCTATCTATCTATCTATCTAGCTAGCTAGCTAGCTAGCTAGCTAGCGTAAGTGGATGTGTTTTTCTCCTCCAGTTTAATAGTGACGATAGGAAAAAGGAAGATTATTAAGCTTGTGTGTCCCCAGATCTCCTGGAAGCTGTTATTAAAGCTTTCTGTGTTTTTTTTTGTGTGTGTTTGTGTTTTTGTGCGTCGGACAGAAGCGCGACAGCCCCGACTCGGCCTCCTGCTTCACGCTGGTCTCCAGCGAGCTCCAACGGAAGGACAAGTTCATGAGGATCCTGTTTTCCTGCAACGTCCGGAAGGTGAGCGCCCCCCCCCCCCTCCTACCCCCCCACCAGCTAACGTCCCCGCGGCTAACGGCTAGCTTTGTGTTTCCCAGATCAACCGCTTCCACAAGGCGGAGAACCGGGCCGTGCTCATCACCGACCGCCACCTGTACAAGATGGACCCCCTGAGGCAGTACAAGCCCATGAAGAGCACCCCCCTCTACAACGTAGGCCCCCCCACACACACATAAACGGGTTACTGGGGATTAGGGGGTGTCAGAGTGGGGTATGAGGGGAAAACGGCTCATTAAGGGGAACAAACGGGCGCACAGAGGCTGGTTTTAGACGTTTCACCACAGTCGAAAAAGCATCAAATATCCAAAAGCCATAAAAATACGTCCGATTTTGCAGCTTTTTGATCTGTTTTCGTGGCCAAAAGGGGGAAATGGAGGAGTAAAATGGGAATTTGACTCTGTTCCTGTCCGTTTTCTCTCCTTAATTGTGTGACTCTCAGACCTATGACTCTCAGCTTCCTGCTCCAACCTGCTTTGCTATAGAGAGGGCAAAATATGGGCGAATTTCAGAGCCAATAAAGAGACAAATCCAACACGGAACTGATGGATTTTAGGGAAAAACGGCTGATTAAGGGGAACAAACGGGCGCACAGAGGCTGGTTTAGACGTTTCACCACAGTCGGAAAAGAGTCAAATATCCGAAACCCAGAAAAATCCGTTCAATTTTGCACCTTCCAATCCATTTTCAAGGCTAAAATGGAGGAATAAAATGAGAATTTGACTCTGCTCCTGTCCGTTTCTCTCCTTAGTTCTGTGACTCTCAGCCTGACATACAGACCTGTTTTAAATAGCTGCTTCACTTTGCTACAGAGAGGGCAAAATATGGGCCACTTTCAGAGCCAGTAAGGAGAAAAATCCCACATTGAACTGATGGATTTGTCATGAGTGGACGGTTTTCCGTCAGTCTGGCTCTTAGTTACTTATCGGTGACAGATTAGTGGCTGTTTTTGTGGTTCTTTTTCTTTTACCCTTTCCTGTACCGGGGGCCGATGTGGCCACTCGTTAGCTGAGATGCTGCAGCCGGTCGTTTTTACTCCGGCGTGCGCTCGACAAGAGGCAGTTTCCATGGCGACCATGTGCTGTTTTCCCCCTCTGCTTGTCTCCCGATGTCCAGCCTGGGAGGCCTGTTTGTGTATCCCCACACAGAGGTTGGGTTTCCACTTATTTGTCCTGGAAAGGCCTGATTTATGTTTTTTTTTTTTTTTTTTTAGTCGTGCTTTGTGGTGGTATTTACCTTCTTTTTTTACCATTTCATTCCAACTGGGAAAACAAAAAAGAGGTTTACTCCCTCAAAGAAAATTGTGGATGAGAGCAGAAACGTCTTCCACTTCCCACATGAGGCTGAGGACGTTAATTACACCGGTTCAACAGCTTAATGGAGAAAGCTGCAAAGCGGGAGACGTTTGGTGGATAAAGTGCTGCATTTCTTTGTCAAGATCCAGAGAAATTCCTGTTTTTATGTAATTTAGACGACAGAAACAGCACTTTAAAAGTGTTTAAGGGAATACTAGGCCTGATAGATGCAGACGATTAGTGTAATTCACTTTTGAAACTTTAAAAAAAGGTTTGTTTGGGAATATTCGGTGTCACAAAATTCATAAAATTCAAGCTTTCCAGATTCATTCAGAGCCACGTTATCTTATTAATGTGTGCTCCATCATTCAAAATCCATCAGCAGCACATCAGCGAGTCACCCTGCTTACACCTCCCCTCAACGAAATGAATAAAAGCACTCTTCTCAGTCCCTCACACAGCGGGAATAAATCCCTAAGAGCCCAAATACGTTTTAGCTCTAAGCTGAAAATAGTTTCTACCAGATTTAGAAAAGGAGACGGAGCATTTGCAGCGTGTTTTTCCCCAAAGAGCTAACCTTTTCTCATTATTTTGGGGATCAACCTGCTTTTTTAGGTGTTCCCAACAGGCCTTCAGGAGCAGACCTTTGTGCTTTCTAACATATGATAGAATAAGACTATAACCCTTTACAGGGTGAACAGGTATACAGGGACATTATGTGGACAAAGAAACAACAAAGGCTCAAAGTTTAATAAACTGTCAAACAGATTACAGTAAAATGACACCAAAACAGAGAAACTTCGCCCGAAATCTTTCCATTAGAACCCCTCTCTGGGCTTTTATTAACAGCAGGAAAACAAAGCTGGTTTGTGTTTCTCATAACTTAATTTGCTTTGAATGGTATTTCTTTTATCCGGGAAGTTAAATAATTTTTTTAGTAGAAACTATTCAAGTACAATGAACAAATAAATCGATTTTTAACCCTGAATATATATATTATTCTGGACCATAAAATTTATCAGGCTATACGTGTAAATATTGATATTAGAATAGAATAAATATCATTAATGATGTCTCAAAAATAGCCTTTGGTTTGAAGCTGTTATATGCAGTACCACTAACTCATGTTTTGGTTCCATTAAAAAAAAGCTTCTCCTGTTTTATTTATTTATTTATTTTTACGTAAAAAAATAAGATTTAATTGGATATCCACTCGTTCTGATATAAATGTAAATATATGAATATTTGAGCAACTTGACAATTTGACTTTCTCCCATTGGGGGTTGAATTAAATCATTTTCTGTTGTATCCAGTTATGTCTAAACCTAGAAATCTAATTAGCTCAATTTTAAGCATTAACAGATCCAAAATTTGAAATTAGATTTTATCAACCAAAGACGAATGTCAGGATTTGTTCATCTGTCTGAGGAACTCCTTTTGTTTCTGTATATCGATTGAAGGGCTAAAAATAGATTTGCCTATTTGATCCTAAATGTGTATTTTACAACGCTAATTCTGAAAGATTTAAGCCTGTAGAGAAGTCTTTATTTCCTCTCTCTCTCTCTCTCTCTCTCTCTCTTTATCCTCTGTGGGGCTCTTTAGAGGATGAATCTCAGCCTGTGAGGGTGAGTCAGTTGTTGGTGAGAAATGAGGAAGTGGGATGGCGAAGGTCGAGGGAGGGGGGGCGGTTAGCCGGCTGGATCTGCCGCTAAGCTAAAGGGGGGGGGGGGGG